TGCCTATTCTAAATCAAGAAAGACACCCAAGCAATACTGTTTTTGTAACCCAAACCATCTCTAACCAGCTTGTATCTAAGAAAATAAACCAAGGTTTATAATTCACATATAAGACCTGGGCAATATGCCACTGTCATTCAGGTGGAAGACTGTGAGTGGCTTTTGGACAATGTGCTATGGAGATCAAACCAGTATTACCGACAAATGAATACATATCTACTCGGACCGCAAGGAGTAATAAAGAACTTTAGTACCTTTTTGGTGTGAAAGCACATAACCGTTTAGGATTGATTCAGCGGGATTCAGGCCCCTTCTATTAGGGCATATAGGGCCGAGTGGCAACGAGAAACCAATGCCATACAACTGATACGACGATCTGTTGGGAAAAAGTCCTCAGTTCAATGGGGTTGTATTCCAAGGCAGAGGGGTGTAAAAAATTCATCAAAGGAACATCGCAGAAAACGAAAAAAAGAACAGAATAACTACTAAATCTAGTACAAGTTAGGACCCGAATAATAGCAGGACTGCTCACTGGACACTGCACACTTCGTAGGAAGAAACAAGCCGGTGCAGATATTGCCATGAAGAAGAAGAGCTCTATAGGTGCAAAGGCTTCTGTTGGCTGAGATCCCTATTCCTGGGAAAGGAAACGCCCGGGCCTTAAGGTTACACGCGAGAGTACTTGAAAAGACTTTGGGTTCTGGTAAAAACCCTTAAGCATAAGAAGGATTTCTAGATAACATTGGAGATGCACCAATACTGGTCGCGGTGCGCAGGTCGTAAAGAGTGCTGCTCCTACTCAAGCAAAAAAGCAGTCCAAATAAATTGCCAGATTTGAAAAGAAATAAACAGAATGCATCAAAGGAAACAGGAATCCCAGGCTGGACACCACATGTGTCATGTGCACAAATTCTTGTGTTCGTGTTCTCCTAGCCCTGGAAGAGAAAAATCCAAGTTCTGAAGGATAAGTTTCATATGCACAAATTCTTGAGTTCATGCTCTCCTACCTAGCCCTGGAAGAGAAAAATCCAAGTTCTGAACGGTACTGGAGTTACCAAAGCGTAGGGATCTGATAAAAAGCTTAACGAAAAGCTCGAGATAATAATGAAGATTACACAATCTCAAGTCGTAAAGAGGCTTATTTCAACCATTCAACCATAACGTTATGCGGAAAGCTAATATGGAAAAGGTTTGACGGTTAAAGGAAAGCTTATCAATAATTGTGGAGTATTATTGATACAGGTGAATGTACAGCCCGAGGCTAGATAGAAATATGTAATCCATACGAGAAGAATGGTGCACTAGGTTTTCTATCTGCCACAAATTTATACAAACACATTTACACAAAATTAGTACCAGGAGACAATATTAAAGCTTCAAAGGTTTATCATTCTAATTAGTTTTACTGCTATTATTGACGTTAAGGTTTTTCACCTCAAAGTTCCCAGTAGCTGTAATCGAGCAGTTATAATTACAGGACTATGACAGCTTCAGTAGTGGTCCTAATGAAAACATAACGGTCTTCCGTAAACATAAAAGCACCTGAGCGGCGTTACGCAGATCCCATGGGTTGAATTAATCTTAATTATTTCAGATTCCGTTATCAGATTAGCTTTTCTATGTGTAAGCACATTTTTAATAAAATAACTGTCCAATTTTTTTTCTAGCCTTAATCGCCAAAATCTTTTGAATCTTACCTATTTTTAATTGTGCTTCGGAAAAGGTTGTTTTTTAAATTTGGAAAACCCAGTTGTAATGAAAATACATGAAACGTTTTTCTTTTAAGTTTATATTGAAAGTGATATTTTGGTTTTTAATCTCTAGTTTCAATTATTTCCGATGTTCATGTATCAAATATACAAACATACGCCATCCTGGAACCCGAAATGAAACACAAAACGTTGAATCATATTGATGAAGGGATAAACAATTCTTTAACTTTAAAATTGCTGCTGTAAATTTCCAAATAATAGTTTTATTTGTCCCCTGCTCTGATTCTTGAAGGAAGTTGTTTTATTGAATATAGTAATAATAGTCTTGTGAACCGTATGTTAAGAGGGAAAGTATCTATTAACGCGAATGAGTAGTGAAACAGGGCTGATTGCAGAATATCGAGTACCCCATCGACACTCAATTAGGTTCGTTATACAGAATTTGTAAAGTAAGGAGTAACTATCGAGTACTTTACCAACGGAATTGAGTGAAAAGTACGTAAATAGGGGAAAATAATATTTAAAAATAAGTGAGAGTGTTAATGGGTTTGGATCAAGGAACTGCATGCGATTGGCGTGGGTTTGGATCTAGGAACTGCATGCGTTTGATGCTGAAATGACCTAGCTGTTGACTGCCAACACAAGTCGAGGGCTGCCGGTAATTTATTGTAAATTATGAAAGCTAGAATTGCCGTAGACCGCGAGAAGTGATACATCTCTGTACATGCTTGTCCATATGTACATCTATGTGTAGGTTTGGGCTTATATAAATCCAAATCAAATAATTTTATTCTATGGATGTTTTTGCATTCAAACTAATGAAATTTAGCGAAAGGGATGAGATTTCTTGATTACTTTCAATGATTTTTAATTCAGATGATCCGGCATTGGGTTACTTTACATTCGCTGGTTTATTAAACTACGCCATTGCTCCATCTTCAGTGTGGAAGTATTCATCGCCTGATAGTCAAGAAGTATATGTCGTAATTTATACTTTTTAAGTAACTCCACTAGTTTTCGCGGTCCGCTTGATCAATTAAGTAACGTAGACGGATCCGAACCAGTATTCTGGTTGGACTCCTGACAGAGCACTGCCACTTAAGAAAGCACATGAACTGGATAGGAGTACAGAAGAAACACTGTGCAGATACTGCCAGGAAGAGGAGTAGACTGCAGAATACATTTTATGGTTCTGTGAAGGTCTACGTAGGCGTAGGTTCTTGCAACTAGGACAAGAAAAACCACAAGCAAGATCCTACACCAAGGAACCTCTGATAAAGCTGTGAAGATTGGTTAATAACCTGAAGCAGGCCAGTGAGCTGTAAATAACAGAGGAGCACAATAGATCTATTCAGGTCGAGGTGAAGTAGGCCTTTTTATCCCTATCCCTATCCGCTAACGTAAACGGACGCTGTGTTATAGTTTATGTTGTTCCGCGAGTCGATTAAACTCATGCACCGGGTCACTTATTGAGACCGTGTTTCGGCAATGCGAATCTTCAGTGAACCAACACCAAACATCTACCCTAACTCAGTCAGGCTACGTTACTTAAAAGGATGTACGAGTTACTCATTGAAGAAGAACAAAATAAATGACCCAATGCTGGTTCAACATGAGGTGACTTGCAGACAAAATCCAACATCGATTTTATGTGTGGTGTTTAGTGACCGTTAGTTAATGTTTATTCGGAGATCGTGAAATGCAGTCTGGTGTGACGTAGGTTTTGGAAAAACATTTTCTTTATCGTGCCAACGTTTCCATCTTTATTGAGATCATCTTAAGGACTCAGTGTTTGTTTTCTGCGTAATTGTGCCATTCTTGCGTGTCGTGTTAAGACACTGGGGCACTCTCAACACGCCACGTACCGCATCTCACGATCCCCAAATAATCTATTTTTTCTTTATTCTACAAAAACATAAATCCTTGAAATAAAATTAAAATATTGTCTTGGACCCACTCAAACTGCACTATTTATAAAATTTGGTCATTTATTTTTCCGAAATTGTAACATCCACGTTTATAAAATTAGATCTAATGTTAATATTTTGTCTTTCAGAAAAATTCAAGCTCAGTATGACCATTTGGACAAGGAATACAGGCAACACGCCATGGGGGCTCTCAGGTCGTCGAACACCAGGGGGTCTGGAAAGGTAAGCACTTATTTTTTCTTTTTCTTTCTTCCCCCCTTCGATTCGTAGTCGTGTTTTAATCCGGCCTACTTGTACACGATTTCCCCGGCTATATTCTTCTAGGGTTTGTTCAAGATCGTCAGCCGTCGATTTTCCACTGGCGTTGTTTACTTTTGTCGAATTACGGCCCATGGAGAAGGAAGAGAGGGCAGCTTGCCAATGTCCGCCTCCCTCTTAAGTACCTCCACATTCGAGTATTGAATCGGTATAAATCTCACCTTTCGACCCGACAGATACCACGTTTAAACGTCTACGCGATCCTTGTGTTAATAGACCTCGAGATGTTGGAAACGTTTACCGAGGAAATTATCCCCTCTTGCACAAATGGTTTGATTACATGTACGTCAGTAATTATAGTTAATTATACTGATTATAATGTGCTGAATATAGCAAAGATTCTGTATGGAGAAAATAATTCTGCTGGGAATAATATTACTTATACAAAACCTTCCAATTTTAGGATATACTAACATGTAAATCTGTACGACCTAACTCTACTAAAGTCGGTATCGTTTTATTTTGAAACCACGGAAAGAAATGACCCACAGTACTTTTCAAAATAAATCAAAATAAGTACCCACACGTTTTACACTATTTTGCGCAAATATCCAGTAGTTAAAAGAATTATTGCTGTTGTTTGACGACAACCTTTAACAATTGGCTTTATTCTTCGTATATATTAGAATTTAAAAATTATTGTGCAATTTTTAGCTCGTACTTAAAACATATTTACTTGATGCTGATAATCATTAAAAGATTCAACAATTTTAAAACTTATTTTAGCGCAAAAATTGTTTTCTAATTTCAGTTTACTATCAACTGTTTCGTATTGGAGTCGAAACTTTAATATCTGACTAAAACAAATAGTAAAGAATTGTAAACATCTTAATAATAATTCTTGGCGATAATAAAGCGTAAATTTGTCAAATAGACACGAACGCTTTAGTTATGTCGCTTGGAGGAAAAAAGGGGTTGTTTTATATTTTGGCGGTTGGGGTTGGAAAGGGACGGGAGTAAACTGTGGGGGGCGGCTTGACGGGTGTGCGCAAGGCCGGGGGTGGCAGTTCGATCCACGACTCAGCTCCAGTCAGTTTGTTTACAAGGTGTGTGCAGTGATGTGATCGGTCGCCAGGGGGCTCGGCTGCTGATTGTTGAGAGGGCAGAGTGCAAGTGCGGCCAAAGTGGACAGTGGAGGTGAAGTGAGAAGCTGCGGTTTCCTGCGGTCGGTGAGAACTCCAGGCTTCCAGGGAGGACTCCAGCTCCAGGCCGAGGGGCCCCGTGGCCAGGTTAGCCACGATGGAACAAAACGGGTCCTTTTCATACGGCTCGACCTTCCGACCTCCCCCGGAAAACAAGCCCCGGGGAGGCGTCCAGGTCCTGCCGCCCCTCGTTCCGCCGAGAGCCCCCGGCAGGACCAAACCCAAGCCTCCGGTACCGCCCAAACGCGACCAGCTAACCAGGCTGACGACCGTCCCCAATCCGCCTCCGAGAGACGAGGCCAAACCCCTGGAAGCACTAGAAAGAAAAATCAACTCTTCGCCCCCGAAAAAGCCAAATTACGAAAACACGGCGGACATAGAACCTCCCCTTTACGCCGCTATTAACCCCGACACCAAAAAAATGCCAAATTCTGATAGCAAAGGTTCTCTCAAGAGCCCGAAGGACTCTTCTTCGGACGATGAAGGAGCCATCGCCGATATTTGGGTCCGGACGATCGACTCGCCCGTCAAGAAAACGGATAGGGTATTTCGAAGCAATTCAATTTCCGAAGAAAGAGAAGATAAACCGCCCAAAGTTCATAGGGCGTCGATAGATAATTCCCTAATTAAATCCCCGCCTATTCTTAAACTCGACAAACCGGAAGTGATCATAGAGAACCGAGACGGCGAAAAAGCCAACGCGGTCGATAAGGAGTCGAAAGAATTCGAAAGGGTAAAACCGGTTGATAAAGAAATATATAGAATTAAAAATCTCGAAAGGGAAACGGAAAAGTTAAAAGTGGGGAATGAGAGTTTACCAGGGAGCCGACCTAGTTCGAGAACCACTTCCCGGTCTTCCTCCCCTTTCGGAGATAAAGAAAAAAAGAAAATCAGCGCTGCGGAAGCGTTAGGGGTTGTGGCGAAACCCTGCCCGAGGCCGCCCCCGGGAAAACGTGTTAAAAATCAGCTGGAATTCCGAAGGCAGAGTCTAGGCAATCTCAGCGATTCAAAATTGTCCATGGGATGTTCGACAAGCTGTCCGAGTCATCAGCTATGGAGCAGTTTTGGCGAATGTCAGGAGAACGAGTACAAGAGGCACGAGAGGGCCAGGGGGCAGAGCGCGGACAGCCGGACCCTCCAGAGGCTCAAGAACGACACTTGGGAGACTCACAGCTATTCCAGCACTCTGTCCAGGATCGGCAAGTACTCGACGACAAAATATTTCACCAAGACTTCGACCTGCCCGGCGGCCACGGATAGGCCGAAGTCGACATGCAACTGCGGCAGACACACGGGTCAAGCGCCTCAGAGGGACGTCGGCAAAAGGACCTTCTCCGTCGAAGAACTCCGCTCGGGCTTCGTCAGAGGTTCGAACACGACCGGCTCGGCGAGGAGCTCTTTTGGCAAATCGCCCCGTGTGACCTTCGCCCTCTCTGAAGACGAAGGGGCTTCGGCTCTGCCGAAATCGTCGGAGAACGAAACGAGGAGGATGTCGACGCGTGCTCGCAGCTACGACGCCGACGACCGATTCCAGGTGAGCTATTCAAGGCCCCACCCTCACCGCCGCACCTAAATATTAAATAGTGGAATTTTACTCTCCCTCAAATTTAAAATGCTGAATTATTCATTTTTAATTATTTAAAGATTTAGTCGGTTGAAAATTATAAAAACATGGTGATTTCGGATTGAATTCAAAGGCCTTATTGCAATCGATACTCAATTTCCAGCAATTCTAATTGTCTCTCCAGCGAAAAGGTTCATTACGAATCATCTTCAGATATAATTTATATGTTAGTTTCGGCTTTTGTATATCACGCGGATTGTTTTGTAAAAGTTCATCTATAATTTAATATTTAACGAGGAAGGAGATGGAGATGCGAATGAGGATGCACACCTGCGAGGATGCGAGGAATTATTAATAGCACTTAGCTATTAAAAACCCTTTCTATTCCTGTATTGCCGTAGATTGAGTTTTGTTTTTATAGATTCCTGTCCATTTGGCTTCAGTGTGGTTTTTTTCATGCGTAGGTGGCTTATATAATTCCCTTGGTCTTTCAAACTTAACCAACTTTTTAAAAGTTTTTGGTTGAATTGTTTACGATTATACATTTGTTTTGTTTCTGTCGTTTTTAAAACCATTCAGGGCCTGTTGTCGCAATTGTTTTACGTACTTTAAAATGGTGTATGTATAATTACGTAATCGGTTATTTCATTTCCTGAATTACACCAGTGGTTCTTTATATTGATGATGACGGATACTAGAAAGTTGGTGGGCTTTTGTTCCTAAATCACTGCAGCCTGCCTTTGTGTACTTTCCTAGTTCTTTAATGCAGTGCAATCGAATCCTTCTCCTAAGAAGTACCAGGTCGTTGCAATTCCATTCCCTGAGTTTCTTATATCCCGGATTACTATGCCTGCATTGAGAGTTGCTTCGCATGCGAAGACGACATGAGTGACAGTTTCTTCATCCTCATGGCATACTCTAAAGATGGGCTCGTAATTGAATATTTCCATGTTGTATAGATGTTTTCTCAGATGATCTTAGTTTTACCATTCCCCTGCGTGTAGCCCTCTCTAACTATTGCAGTACTGGGTACCCAAGTTATCATCACGTTATTGTTTTTTTCCCAGGTTTTGGAGATTTTTATGCATTTCACTGACTAATTTTGATGTGATTTTTTTACCAATGTTTTAATAGCTGTTTACTTTTCTTCTCCCTTGTAGTCTGTTGAGACTTTGTAGGTTGTAAAGAATGTTTCTGGGATTGTTAGTTATTACTAAGAATGGGTGTCCGATTTTATCGATTATTCTTGAGTGCCTAATGTTTAGTTTCCATCCAGTTTGATTGTTTCCTTGTATAAATATTTCCAGTCGATTGAGCATTAGCAACGTTTCTAATGCGATTGAGGGGGTTGTTTTCACCGCCCCTGTGATATGTAGGTTTGACAATCTTTGTAGCTGCCTAATGGTTGGGTAGGTTGTTTTTATTGAGCTTTGATCCAACAGATTAGTAGTACCCGATCGTACTCCTAGTTATTTGTAACTTTACCAATAAAAATATATAATATCTTTTGATAGATGTTATTATGAAAGCTTGGTTCAAGTCTTTTAAATATCGATTAGTAGAAAAAAGTTGTCCCCTATCCATCAGACCAGCCACTATCTGGCAGGGTTCAACGACCCCTGGTTAAGAATTGCAACTAAACATAGGTTGCTAATTTTTATTATGTTAACCACTGATGACTTCACAACGAAAAACATGGGTTTTTAAATGTGGAAAATGTGCGTCGGCTGATTTGGAATACGCCTGGGGTGATTCGAACGGTCTTGGCTCTTGATCGTTCCAGCCCATTTATAAATAAGCGATTAACTGTGAACTTCGCGACAGGAAACTTTTCAACAAAAGGGTCGTTTACTCCGAAAACCGATAGCGGCTTAACTTACAACTTGAAAGATTCAACTGACTTAACATGGCCGAAGCTGAAAAGACTCGGAGTATATGGCGCATTTGTTTCGAGGGTTTCCTCATGTCTTATTAATGAAACGAGCCTTTCATGCTAGTCGTAGCCTCGTTAGTTACAGGACCTTTGGGAGATACACATGTTACCACTTGTTTATATACTGATGAGGCGGAGTGGAACCGTGAAAATCGTCGGAAATCTTACATCAAACGTTGTCGATTCATGAGTTTGGCTACTTTCGACTTTGGTAAAGGCCCATTTCTAAAAAGTCAACCAAAACGTACATCCATCAGATATAATTAACGCTTGGTTATTAAGCTTATCATGTATCAATTATTCAACAGATAATTGAGAAAAAACTTAGGCAAGTCCGTCTTCAAACTATCCGTCATCGCAGTCCATTATGATCAGAAATGACCCGGCAGACCTCAAGAAGAAATCTCACAATATAATTATTCAGAAATCATGAGATGCGGTCTGGTGTGATGTAGGTTTCAGAAAAACATTTTCTTTATCGTGCCAACGTTTCGATCTTTATTGAGATCATCTTCAGGGCTCAAAGTGNGGCACGATAAAGAAAATGTTTTTCTGAAACCTACATCACACCAGACCGCATCTCACGATTTCTGAATAATTATCGATTAACGGTCACTAATCACCACACATTTCTCACAACATATTTTATTACATAAAACCAATGGACCTATGTACTCAAGATTGACAAACTTTCAGACATATGGATGGTATCTTTATACAAACAGTAAAAATTACGTAGTCCAGGGTCAGATTTTGGTTGAGATCCAGCCCTGGACGACGGGGTCGGTCTAACCTGGGGACGAACAGCTAGGTCAATCCAACCGACGAAATCACGAGGGTTCACACCTAAGCATTATTTGTGGCTTATTTTCTGTTTCAATGTTTTGGAGTTAGACTTTTCAAGACAAACCATAAAAATCCCCTAGTCAGGTTTGGTATATAGTCCCGGGTCAGATCTCGGTTAACTCTGTCATGTCCACTGAAATAAAACATGTCATATTAACAAATAAGCTATTTAAGTCAGATACGCATGAGATTTTAAACTTAACTTACTGACCCCTCTAAAATTATATTTTGGAATTACACTTATGAACACGACCGTAAAAATCACCTAGTCCGGTGTTGTCAGGCAGTCTAGGGGCAGATCTAGGTCTAATCCACCGAAATTAAGTTCTTGTGATAACAACTAGGTTATTTCAGCCAACGAATGCATGAGGTTTTTAAATTTAAACCATATAAATTCGATATTCCACCACCAACCAATACGCGATGAGCTAATTTCATTAAGAGTCCATGTAAATAGTCACGTCCACCATCGACCAACTGCACATTCATCACCATTCATGAACCCAAAATTAATTGGGTCTTATTTCTACGAAAAAAATTTAAATGGTGCTCAGTTCCTCAATGTATTGGGAGAGGTTTCACCAACACTAATAGATGATGTTCCTCTTCGCCAACGACAAAGAATGATTCTCCCGCCTGATGGATGCCCCGCACACAATTCTTTGAAGATGAGATTATTTGAATCATCACCTCCGGGATGGGTGGGACTTAGTAACTTGACTATTTTCTGTGGGGCCATTTAAAAAACAGTGTCTTCGCCAATCATAACCCAGCAAACTCAGTTCAAGAAATGCAGCAAAAGGTAGAAAATGCTTGTCAATTTAACTCCCCTGACTCTATCGCTCTGAACACCGGTGAAGACGGGTTAAAAGAGCAAATCTTTGCATATTTACGCAAAACAGGCAGTTTGAACATGAAATGTGATTAATAAATAGCCAACCAAATGACTGTTTTTCCAACATTTTGCCATAACTTTGTCATTTTTGGCCCAATTTAAAATCCCATTGCACCATTGTTTTCAGCGTATAAATTCCTTTAAAATGATGTGTCATGGTATATAGGGCGGTATTTTATATTTTGAACTTGAACTGGGCCTGAAGTACACTGAATATCCCCCCCCCAACAAACCAAAAATTTATTTGAAACCAGACTAAAAAATATTTTTTTTTTGTAGCTCTTTGGTTTAAGAGAAATTCGGCCGGGTCTAAACATGACACCCCGTATAACAACACTGTTTATCACGACACATAGAACGACTTATCTCATACCGGATGTGGGCGTTGTCCCAAAAGTGTACTTGTGTCAATCTTCAAAATTTGATTGTAATTAACGTACAAATTACTAATGTGGAGAGAGAGAGACTTACTTGTTAGTATTACATCCCGTTTAAATTATTCACCGATGTGATATCATTGTTGGGAGACAGTAATTCTGTCGAGCGGCTCTTATTTGCTCTGTTACCGTCATGAATGAACAAATTCCGCATTTAATTCGTTGGAGTCGAGTGGACTTCATCGAGCCGTAGCCAGCTCCAGTCCATACGGCATAATGGAATTCACCCTCCACGCGATCTCCAGTCTTCATTAACAGACCCGACAGATACTGCCCATAGAAAAAGGGGTGAAAGGCATTCGGTGGTTAAATCCACCGTTTCGGCAGAAGGGGGGAAGAAAACGTCTCGACGGGAAGAAGCCACCGTGCGAGAAAGAACCGTGTCATGCATAGTTTATAACCCTTTCCATTCCCAGTTCTGACCTATGTATAAACAAAGAGGGAACCCGTGCCATCTCCAGGGTGGTTGATGACGGACGTAAGGTGTCCGAAACGACAAATTAGGAAAACTGGGTTATCGTACGGGATCGATTTGCCAAATCGGCGCGACACGTGTTTCAAGAGGGTCGGCAACGCACGTAACACCATTACTCTCACCCTCTGGAGCCGTAATGCGGAGGGAAGAGGGTTGCTTGTGCCGAAACAACCGATCGGGGGGAATATCGAAGCGGTATATTCCAACGCCAAACCCGTTCCTCCCTGTCAAAAAAGATTAAGCCGGTTTTTGTTTATACCCATATTGCTTTCAATAAATGGAAAAAACTGAACGACTTTTCAACGCAAACGTCATTTTATCTTGCTGTCTCTTTATTAAATCCAATGGACTTTTAAGGAAGGCCTAAACGAATTACTTAGACCG